CAAAACTACGTGATAACTAATTAGATGTGATAATTGGGAATTACTATCTAAAAGGACTTGTTCATATCTAATTCTAATAACTACAATACATGTTGCTTTTATACAAATCCAAGATATAATTTCTAGGCTATATGAATTCATGTATGTTATATCACTTAAATTCTATTGGTTTAATATTCGTTCGCTCGTTCGTTCGTTCGTTCGCTTAGTTATTCATTTGTTCATTTGTTCGCTCGCTTGTTCGCTCGCTTTACGTGATATAATCTTTATCCAATAATATATAAGATATTTATAATCCAATAATAAAATATTATGACGAAAGGTTATTATACAACAATATAAATTTAATAAATTATTTTAGATTCAGACAAATAATTTGACAGTAAATGTTATACAAACTATTTGAAATATTTTAACTATATATATTTCATCCTGAAATGATTATATTCAAAATGTTTTTCTTAAAATCTGGCTTTATGAATCAGAAAATTCTTTTTCTTCACAAATCAAAGTTATTGATACATCTTCAATTATCAAGCTTACTATTCATTACAATCAAGAAGTAATAATTCGAGAAGCAAATACTGGTAGATTATTAATGGTAGTTTTGTGTAATCGAATTAGTGAAGATGCTTTAGAACATTTTAATATCATTATTACTGAGATGTTTGATCTTCATTGTCCAGTTACCTGTCAAGAAAATGAATCTCTCAATCAAGGCCATTTAGCTGCTGCTGATTATCTTATCACACGACAATATGGAATCTTTACTCATATCTTGAATTTAAAAGAACAATATTATGAAAGTAATTTATAATATAGACATAAGACTAAAGTAATTGCTGCTAATGCACTACTTTTTAATTATGCCATGAACTTATTTTCTACTGAAGTCATTAATAATATTAAAGAAATTCTTGAAGAATATAATCTTCCTCAGCTTGATGACTATAATTATGAAGCAACAAATAAAGACTTTACTATCTCATATATGAACAAGAAAATTCAGTTATCTTTTTTTTTTGAACTTTGCCAGGTCTATGCTACAATTAACTATACAAAATATAATCATATTGATCATAATATTTTGGATTTTGTATTTGCTTGTATTATCAAAAAAGGAATACAAAATAATAATAATCCATCAATAATTGAAGAAGATAATTTTGAAGAAGATAATTTTTTCTTATCCAAATAGGGTATTAAGATTGAAATAACAGCAAATACTCTTTGATACTGGCCAGAAAAAGATGAACATAATACTATAGCTATTTCTTCTCATAAATATCAAGCTGACTGATCTCAAAATTTGGCAAAACAAACAGTAATAGCTATTAAAAAATGGAGAGAAGGAACTGAAGATTCAAATCATGTTAAATATTGACAAAATCAAATTGCCAATAATTCTTATACTACAGCTGTTTTATTGGTATTATTAAAAAAAGATGATGAAAATGAAGATAAATTAGAAAAAAAAGAATTTGGAGAATTTATGTAATTAAGATATAATCGTAGAAAATAATGTTAAATTTTTATATATATTTTTTATATAATTAATTTTTTATATATATTTAATAAAGTTTTAATTAAATAATTCAACTTAAAATTTTAATTAGTATTATTTATCGATTACATATTGATTAATTATTAATTATATATTAATCACATATTGATCATACATTAATTATATCAAATCATTACCTGATTACTTCTAATTGCATATAGAGATCAATAAAATATTAATCATAATCATTATCTGATCATTATATAATTGTTATATAAATTTATTTTGATATAAACTGATATATTAGTATTAATATTTAAAGTGTTAATTTTAATTTAATAGTTTGATTTTAATTTATCAATTCAGTTTTAATTTGTCAATTTGATCAATTTGATTTTAATTCGTCAATTCAGTCAATTCATCAATTCAGTTTTAATTCAGCAATTTAATTTTAATTCGACAATTCAGTCAATTCAGTTTTAATTCAGCAATTCGATCAATTCAGTTTTAATTCAACAATTCAGTTTTAATTCGTCAATTCGGTCAATTTGGTTTTAATTCAGCAATTCAGTTTTAATTCATCAATTTGATCAATTTGGTTTTAATTTGACAATTTAGTTTTAATTCGTCAATTTGATCAATTCAATTTTAATTTAGCAATTCAGTTTAATTCAATAATTTGACAATTCAATTTTAATTTGTCAATTCAGTTTTGAAGCTAAATATTTCAGTTTTTTAAAAATAATTTTAGCAATCATCTTTAAATACATATTGGAGCTCTAATAATTAATTCCAAAAAATGATTTTTTCAAATGATTATTTTAATAAATAATTATGGAATCAACTAAAAGATTGAAACAAATATTACAAAAAAAAATGGTCTGAAAATGAATTTTTGCTCAAATGCAAAAAATGTAAAAAAAATAATGAAAATCAAATTAATTGCTGTGTACGTCAAATAATGTCTTTGATACCTAATTTTCTCATTCAAAAAGATGCAATTTTTGAAATTATTAAAAAAGCAGGTTACAAATATATTTTTTATCCCAAATTTCATTGTGAACTTAATTTTATTGAGCATTATTGAGAAGCTGCTAAAAGATATACAAGAGAAAATTATAATTATTCATAACTAAATTTAAAAAAATTGTATCTTAAAATCTTGATTTAATTTTTTTAATTACAATTAGAAAATTTTCTAGAAAAGCTTGGTGTTATATGAATTTATATAAAAAATAAAAATAAATTAGTGGAAAATTAGCTGAATATGCAGTTAAAAAATATAGATCACATAGAAAAATTCCAGATGAAATTATAAAGAAATTATACAAAATTAAAATTTAATCCAATAAAAATTATTTCACGTGATGTTTACATAATTTTAAATTTCGGACTGATTAACAAATGATGAGTATAGATGCGCCGCACCATATTATCCGGCAATGGCATCATGTTTGGCGCAGTATCGAACTGACGATAAAAGTGAAGTCTCTTTAGAAATTCTCGTGATTCATGAAATAATTTGATCGATCACGATCTATGACGATCCAAGTGGCTTAGATGATTATTTCATAAATTGATCTATTGTAAATAAAATAATTTGTCAAACATGTCAACACCAAATTTTAACGATTTCTTTAATAACACAAATCCTTCTAAGTGGTCGTGTTAAATACTACCGGGAGTATATTTCGCAACACGAGCCCCTTAAAAAAGTTCTTTACGATATCAATATAGAGTTCAAACGAATTAAAGAAACTGACTCTGATGACTCGCGCAGAAAAACAGCGCAGTATATAATTGATAACTGGAAAGTATGTTTGTGAGTTTGTAATGCCGATAGTGAGGTTGAGGGGGATAAAGTCTCTTTTTTATGAGGCTAAAGAAGGCAATCGAGATATGGCCAAGCTGGGACACGCAATGTCGACTGGTTATGAACGCTAGGTTCGTGCCTATCTCGATAATCAAGGTATGGTCAAGCTGGAACACGCAAGGTCGACTGGTTATGAACGCAAGGTTCGTTCCTACCTTGATTTGCCTTCGGTGGCTAGCTGGGACACGCAAGGTCGACCGGTCGTGAACGCAAAGTTCGACACCTCCCCTCAACTTTTATTAATTTTGAGAGTTATAACTAATTCTATATTTTCCACCCCTTTTTTTGCTAGTACTGGACTATGGATGTAAAACAATCAAACCAGAATGACGAGATTATCCAAAAACATTGCTGAACGTAATGCCCTTGTGGTATGCTATCTTTAGCCTTGTTCTTATGACGAGGACATACAGAATCATGGAATTTATTTCTTTGCTCTTATTACAGGAAGAACAGTGTAACGAAATTCTAAAAAATTCGTTAGTACGAGATCAAGTCGTACGAACTACACTTGAAGAACATATAACAAGGAAACGGCCAGCTGAGGAAGCCTCCCCCATTGTCACTTCTCCTCCCAATCTTCGACAATGTGAGCCACGAACTCCTGAGGATCCGGAAAATAAGGTAGGTAGTTTCCATCATGTTTTTAATGTAAAGCTCGCAACAAAAATGTCTTCTCACCTTTCGGATGTATGCACAGGTTGCGGAGGTTGTAGACGATGAAGAACCTCCGATTGAATGGGAATTTGATACACCACGACCAAGTTGGCTGAACAAAGTAATAGAGGAACATCGCTTACTAATTTCAAAGGATGATCCAAAAACTATATATGAATCGTCATTAAAGTAAATGTTGGACAAATACTGGTTCTATTTTCTTTTATGGTAGTAGATTTTAACAAAGTTTTTTCCTTAGATCAATTTGGTGGAAGATCGTAGACTCATCAGATCCAAAAATTGTAGATTTTCTGTCAGAATCAGATCTATCAGATCTGAACGCGGTTTTTTTATCTGCTTTAAAAAATTGGACCGTGTTAGAACCTTCGGCAGAGAAATGTTTAAAGTCTCTTGCAAAGGTGAATGATGACGATTTAAGTGTTTCAATTCTTTTATTGAAAACTTAATTAACATTTGCTTTTGGTTTCCAGCTTGACAGCTATCAGCTTCGTATTATTGGAGAAACCGTAAGACCGAAGGGAACACACGGAGCCATTATTAGACTCCAAGAAATGTTGAAAAACATTAGGGATCCAGTTACCCCAGTTACTTTAGAAGCTGACGATCTATTTTATGATGGATATGTTGACGAAGATGATAAAATTTTTCACGAGGAGACCCCACTGCTTGATCTTAAGGATCATCTGGACCCAGATGTTGCGTATATTTTTGACTTGGTTCGATATACGTAAGTTCATTTGATAGTTCAGCGTTTAATCATCACACATGCAACTTCACATACTTTTTTACTTCACCTCCACCAGGTGTGAAATGATTGCGAAAGGAATCCCCGATAGACAAAACTCGGAGCGGGACATCGATATCTTTATCAAAAGTCACATTTTTTCATGTTTCGATGACATTTTGGACAGTCATTTGTAAGTTCCGTTGTTATCCTTAAATATTTTTTATTGTTCGTAATTATGCTTAACAATTTTTCTTAAATAAGCGGTGAGGTGGTATCAAGAGCTTCACGGAATCGTCGAGCAAATGCAATAGATGCTCCGGATAATGCAGAAGGCTACCATCTAGACTGGATGTTCACGGTATGGTAAATTCTTAAAGGGTTCATTGTTATTATCAGAGCGTTTACTAGCTTAAATCTACAGAAACATGATTTAGGAAAAGATTTATCTTGGGGTCGTGAATTCTCAGTTTGTGAGCATACTGGTTCCAAAATTGAGAACAAGCGAAAGATTATTTCAAATAACTTAAAAGCACAGAAGACCTTGAGAGACATGCATCGATCTCTAATTGAAGCGATATCTGCTGAAGGTGGAGGAATGCTCTCAAAGCCAGTTCTGCAGGCTAGCACAAAGATTCTCATGCCCGGATACGTATAAATTTATCTGTATCACCTTACATGGCTTATCTTTATGCATGACTTATTTGTGCCAACTCATGAAAACAAAAGTAGTACAACAGGAAAATCTGTGATAAATACCCATATTCCATTATTATCTTTTTTTTCAGCTCATAATGTCAGAAAACCAAGCGTATGAATATTTTAATCGTAGGCACTCTGAGTGGAACATCCTGGGATTTTTAAACTATTGTGATGTGGAGCCATTCGGTATCAAGATAGACTATTATTTAAAATGCCTAGAGACAATGGTTAATCGTGAACAAGGTAACCGGCAGAAAAAAGCACAGGAGCTTATCGATAGATACAGAAATGCAAGTAGACTTTTTTTATTGGAACACAGGTGAAAAAAGTGGCGTGGCTGAGACTTACTAGGTTGTCAGTCATTCAAGGCTATTAGCTGAGCCACAAGACCAGTGTTGGAGCACAGGGAACTTACTAGGTTGCTTGATGTCAAAAGGCTACTAGCTTAACCAACACTGGACCCACTGGATACAGGTGACTTATTAGGTTGCCTGATATTCAGATGGGATGGAAAATACAGTAGGATAGTGAATAAGAGTATTATTAACTTCCTGAATCTTCAATGCCAGGATCCTCGACCTGATCGTATAATGGCTAGACAATGGGAACAAGAGCGCTCACGAAAGCAAATTCATGTTCATCAACCGACATATACGGAAATTTCGAACACTGGAACGATCTATGGAGGGACAATCAACACCAAAACTTTCGGTGCGAATACAAATATACTCAGAGAAGAACAAGGAGAGGTATCTATTCACATTTTTTTAACTAGAGGTTTGAAATCAGCAGAGCGAATAATTTTAAATTTAACACCTTAGGACAATTGTGGGGGTCAAACTCAAAGACGGGCAAAAAAGGTAACAACACTATCAGATATTAAATTTCTTTTGTTGTTTTTATTTACAAAACTTTATGAATTTATTTTGTGTGCCCATTCAGAGAATATCATATTTTGAATCAGAAACCGATGACGAAGAATTTGAGGTATGAGATATATTGTTATATAATATACAGTGATCATGTGAAGGAGAGATGAATCCGATAGTGAATTTGTTTATTTATAGGAAGAGTGTGTGTTATTATTTGAGCCTTCGGAATTATCAACAATCCGAAAGATGGTCACAGAACTGAAAAAATTTCAGATGGCTGGGAAGTTAAGCTATTGAAATGGCAACAACACAGCCTTAATCAATTAGATCATGGAATTCAGCACCCATCAAAGCGGAACATACACTGTATTCTTGTTGCTTCTTCAATCTTTTATTTTAAAAAAGAAAACGAGCAGGTATATAATGGCTTCCTAACAGCAGATGAGATTGCCGATATTCAATCACGCGTAATCTCAGAGTTCAAGATGATAGAAATTCCAAATGGAGTAAAGGAGTTTGTGCGAGAAAATAAAAAGGTTTGCGAATTAAGTTTTATATTATAATGTGTTCAAAATAAATCATTTTCATGGATTATCATATTGCGTTTATTAGGATTATCAACAAGATAGTCTGGAAGAGATTGAAAGATTTCTAAAGCAATATGTCGGGAACCAATTCAGGGATAGGCTACTAAACAGAGCATTTTTTAGACTTTTGGAAGAATGTGTACTGTTGGAGACACGAATGAATTGACGGAGGGAACGTACATGATGGATTACATAGCACCGATGTTTAATAGAACAATACATTATTTTAATTATACAACCACGCATTCATGGTATGATATTTTATATTTAATTTTTTAGAAGCAAACCAATTAATACTTGTTATTTTTAGGATTGATGTGGCATCTAATGCATCTAAATTACGTCGAGGCCATCGTGGTCGAATACCAGATTACAAGCTGAATAATAAAAATGGAACTCGTTCAGCTGTATTTGGTGAAGTAACCAGCCCAAAACGTCAAAATGAAGAACCTAAAGTTTACTGGGACATCTACCGTGGTGCTATACATGCGAAAGATGCCATAGATTATGATATTAATCAGCAAAACATACAACCAGATGAGGCGAAACGAATCATAATATTTATTAATGGCTTTAAAATGACAGTGTGTGTTATGAAATTACATTCTTCCGGAATATATCTATTGGTTGAAGTGGCGTCATGTACTATTCCGAAAACTGCTAGAGATCTAGAGCAAATTATGATCCTTTACCAAATTTTAATGAGTATTCGGGTCAGTGTTTTCAATATCTCGATATTTGTAAACTTCATTCTAATTTAAAACTTGTAGGATGTTGCGGTAGATGTGTTGGGCGAGAGATCCTGTTCTACACCACTTCAAGCAAATTATAAAGATTGGCTACGTCCAACTGCTAGTACACCCACCACACTTAAAACTGATTGACCTTTAACATAAAGTAAAAGTGGATAGTATATCTTTATTTTCGTTTATGTAATCCAGTCTTTTTTTCTCTTGTTAAATTTTTACTAATAGATTTGAAATCAATAGAAATAACATCTTTAGTAAGCCTCTAGGATAAGACTAGGGAGAACAATTGATTAATTTATTTCGGAAATAAGAGATGACCTATGTTGGTGGAATATTATGTCATGTAAAGAATATCATTAATAATTGGAAAATAAAATTTTTTTTTATCTTTTTAATCTTGATGTAAATGCTAATTTTTTCTATGTATTGACGTGACGTAGTTTCAAACTAATAAACTAATGAAGCTGATTTTGCATACATAATCGCGTGATCGACTCGGTCAATAAAAATAACGAAAATGACTAGTTGTTTACCATTTTCCTAATATTATTCTTGAGATCACAATTGAGTTATATATTTTTATATTAATATTTATTTATCTGTCATATTAATAAATTTTTTTCTTGACAAAACTTTGTGAACTAAGTTCACAAAGTAAAATTATGTGAATATTTTTATTTTGAATGTAAATATACAATGTATAAAATTATTTCAAAAATGATATCTGAAATTGACTTACTTAGTAGTTTAAGACCAAATATAATGAGGCCAAGAGTGAGATTACAAAGCTAAATACTAAGTTCAGGAATAGAATCGAGGAATTAGAAAAGGTTAGAATAGATACTATTGTTGAGAATACTAAACATGATGTTGAAAATGTCAGGTATAATTAAAGATGACGTAACAATTATTACAACATGATAACAAATAAAGCATCACCTAGTTGCAACTAGTTGTGGCTTATAAAATTTTGGAGTTGCAATGTGTTATAATGGATGACAAATAAGTGTTACATACTTGCTACACCATCTCTAGATATAATGTTGAGAATGCTGAGCTTAAGATTAGAGTTGCAAAGTTGGAAGAAGATTCTAGGTATTTGTGAAAGGATTCCTCTTTCAAAAAATTTACAGACATATTAAACTTTATAGTAGCAAATGAAATAGTACCTGTCAATTCAAAGTCATCAAAGAAAAAAATCATGAACTCTTTTTTGGATGAGGTGAATAAAAAAAGAGTTAGTAATAAAATTAGATAGAAAAAGTGTGAGAAGAAGCTTGTGAAAGTGGAGATTGTTTTCTTTGAAAAAGATAAGCAGATATCAGTTAATAAAAGGGTACTTCGTAAGTAAGGTTCCAAAATTTGGTTCAGTTCAGTTCGAGTTCAACAAGTTCAGTTCGAGTTCAGTTCAGTTCAGTTCAGACTTTAAACCTTTCTTGAACACATCAAAAAGTCTGGTTCGAGTCTGATTTGAACTTTGAATCTTTTTTGAATATATCAAAAAGTCTAGTTCAAGTTTGGTTCGAACTTCGAATCTTTCTCAAACTCTTCAAAAAGTCTGATTTGAGTTTGGGTTTGAGTACAGTTTGAGTTTGGTTCAAGTTTGGTTCAAATTTGATTCGAATTCAATTCGAGTTCAAGTTCAGTTCATATTCAAGTTCAGTTTGAGTTCAAGTTCAGTTTGAGTTCAAGTTCAGTTCAGTTCGTGTTGAGTTTTAAATTTATATGAGTACAAGTATAGATTTGGTACAGTTCAAAAAAAATTTGTATACATTCAAGTTTCAGTATGTATTTAGTATATGTTTATGATATAATATGATTTATTATTTAATATATAAATATAGTTCAATATATACAGTGCTGGACAGTAAAAGACATTCATTTTTAATCCACTTATGCATAATGATTTAACTTAATAAAATTTAATCATATAGAAAATAAAATTTTACAGATTGATAGCTTTTTAGTTAAGCTACAAATCTGTAAGAGGAATTTTTGATTTTTTTATTTTGGAGAAGTTATAATGAATTAAACTTTTCTAATTTATATAGTTATTAGGAAAATTGGTGCAGGAATTTATCACTGGATTATAATTTGATTGGCTGGCATTATTATAATTCAGGCTGATATGCTGGTATTAGATAATGCTGAGTCAGTCCAAATAACGTGATTTTATATTGTTCATTATCTATTCGGTTCTTTTATTATCTATCTCCTAATGTCAAAATACAAACGGTTACAGAGAGAAAGAGCAGAAATAGCTCGTTCTGCTCGACTTGCAGCTATGAGTTACTCTTTTATTGTTCCTTGAGACATTACCTTCTTTTCTTCTGAATCTGGTTCAAATTCCGCATTTATTAATTACTTTTTTACCTCTGCTTATTTTTTAGAAATTATACCATCTGAGAATCTTGTTGATCTTGAATCAAGTGAAGAATACGAAAGTAACAATAATTGGTTGAATGATAATTTTCAAGAGGTCAATAAACTGAGTAATAATGAAGAAACAAATTCAATTATTAATTATCTTCTTTCAGTATCAGCAGTGAGCTTCGAAAAAAAAGAACGTCCAGTTATTTATACCAGCAGTTCGAAACGAATACAGCAGAGAAAAAATTGAGCATTAAAAGAAGCAGCAGTAGGAAGCTTAAAAATTTCACATTTCTTTCGTGCTGTTGATGAGAACAATGAAGACTCGCAAGATCAATATGATAGTGAATCAGAGAATGAAGATAATATTTGCAAGACGATTAGATTCGTGAATGAGGTAATGTGTAAAGAAACTCTCTCAAAAACTGAAAAAGCTTATTACACAACAGTTCTTTATTTTTTTTGATTGCTACATAATGGTGAAAAAAAAATGGAAGCAGCAAAAATGGTTACAGAGATGATTAATAGTGGTCCATGGCTCGCGAGATGCATCAGAGAGTGGGCAAATATCTGCATGAAAGGTAAGTTTTTTTTTGAAAATAAAAAAAATTAAATTTATTTCCAAATAGGAGAATTAATTCAGCCAAGTTTTCGAGGAAAATTCTCCGCCAACAGCTTGCTTTATAACAAGCTGGTTAATTTACAATTGGTCACTTACCTATGCGCCCAAAAATTTAAAGTGAATCTCATAATGATCAAAAATTATTTTGAATAACACATCCTCCTCTAATTAAATATTGAATCTGTTCAGCATATTTCGGTCCAAACTGCTCATCGATGGATGCTCAAACTAGATTTTTGCTATCAACATTACCAAAAAGGTGTTTATGTGAATGGACATGAACGGCTGGATGTAATTGCTTATCGTCAAATCTTTCTTCAAGAAATTGCTAAGCTCGATCAATTTATATTCAAGTGGCTTGACGAGAACTGTAAAATAAGAATTTTCCCATGTTTAAATGAAAATGAAAAAGAGCATGTATGGATAACTCATGATGAATCTACTTTTCATACTTATAATGGACCACATGCTGTGTGGGATCCTGAAGGAGAATAACCATTACGGAAAAAAGGGCTGGATGTTGGTATACATATAAGTGACTTCCTAACAGAAATAATAAGACCACTTAAAGATGATCAAGAAGAGGCATGTGTAATGATGACATTAGGTGCTAACCAAGACAGATTTTGGGATTCTATAAAACTTCTTGAACAAGTCAGATGGGTGGTTAAGGATGCTTGTCTAAATCCTTTCAGAAAAATATCGTCATAATTTTGACGGATTACACACTAATTGTTAATTAGAATTTCGACATAATTTCAGTTATAACGGGTTTCAAAATTCGTCAGAATTTTGACGGGTTATTTACTAATAGTTTATTATAATTTCGACAAAATTTAGACAGTCACTAAGGAATTTTAGCAAGCAACCTTATGGGTGGTAAGTATCTTTGAACAGATGTATTCAGAGTGTGTGGAAGTATTTGCTTTTGACAATGCTATCTCTCATAGAGCTTTTGCTGAAAATGCTTTCATGGCCTCGAAAATGAACCTTAATCCAGGAGGATCAGTTCCAAAAATGCGAAATATGATATGGAATGATAATCACTAATTAATGATTATTGAAAAGGATTACTTTATTTATAATAGGAAGATAAAATCAAATGTTAATTTGCGTGGTCAGCCTAAAGGAATCCAGTAGATTCTTAGTGAAAGGGAATTGTGGTGAGATGGAATGGTACTAGAGTGCAATTTATATAAAAAGAAAGAGGCAGATCCCAATATTGTTAATTGCTATGCACATCGCTTAATGGCCAATCAACCAGATTTCCTTGAACAACGTGATCAGATTCAACAAGAAATCGAATCTCGTAGATATAAGGTAAATTAATTTTTTTTCTTTTAATCATTTATCATTTCTTAACTTAATCTTGATAATATTGTTTATTGTTAGATTATATTTTATCCTAAGTTTTATCCTGAATTCAATTATATTGAAATGTACTGGGGAGCGGTCAAGAAGTATACCCGAGCTCATTGCAATTACTCGTTACCAGGACTCAGAGAATCGATTTCTCACGCGTTTGATTCCATTTCTGTGAAAAGTATTCGCTCTTTTGCTAGGTTATCGTTTAGATAGATGGATGCTTATTAGCATGGATTAACAGGAAAAGCAGCTGAATATGCGGTCAAGAAATATAAAAAACATAAATCGATCAATGAAGAAATTATGAATCAAATTAATGAGCTGTTATGTTAATCGATTTATAATAAAAAGGAATAAAAATGAGTATTAGTTTCCTTATTTGATTTTGCTATTATTCTAATAATAATAAGATGAGGAATACAAATGTTGTTTTTTTTAATTTAAGAACTTGTGGAATTATCAGTTTATGAATTTTATTTTATGATAGTTTTTATTATTTATAATAATAATAATTCAATATTAAAGTGCATTTATTATATACAAATATTAATATGATTATCAATACTTATTATTATAATAATAATGATATGATTAAAGTAATTTTTTATGATCTATCAATGTTTTTTGTTTGTATTAATGATGCGATAAAAGCAAACAATAAAAAATCCTTTATTTTGTATTTTTCATATTCACTTTTTTATTGATTGCTGGATAATCTTTATCAGGTGATATAATCACCTGATATAATATCTAATTATAATTGGCTGAAACAGTTATT